CTCGTGGCCGCAGCCAATCTCAGGACAGGGACGTAGAGTTCGACCGTAACCGTGGGCGTTCGTCGGATAGTTATGGACGGGGATACGATAGACATCGTTGGGATCGGCCATCAGAACACCGCTACTCGCAAGATAACCAATATCAGGAGCGCGACAATAATCGTTATGGTCATGCCCGCCGTATATCTAGTGATACCCGTAGCACTGGTAATAATAATGATACCCCCACATGTCCTAAGTGTAAGCTTCGCCATCGGGACCCACTTTGCCCTTTATGTCGAGCATGCAAACAACCAGGACACTACTCCAAAAAGTGCCCGTCCAAACCGATGGTAGCTGCTGCTACTACTGTGGTGCCACCAGCACCTATCCTTGGTGGTGACATCCCACGCCAGATATGAAATGCGAAGATGAAACAGTGAATGTTTGCGTAGACACGGGTTCTCGGCCCGCTATGATAAGCCGTTTTTTTTGCTGTGGAATTGAACTTCCCCATACTGGAAGTTGTGTATGTGAAGGAGTTTGGTGGTTCAGGTCAGGAATCCCTTACCCACCATACACCGTTATGCATGTGAATTCAGGAAACGGCACACCTACTTTATTCGAAACTTAGAAAGTCGACTTCTATGTGGCAGATTGGCTGCCAATGGAGTGTAATGTTCTGTTTGAGTTTGACCACATGCAGGAAAACTTGATATGTACCTCAATGGACAGATCGGTCATACCAGCAAAGTTCCAACGTCCGTTGCCCAAGGTTAGTTCCCTAGGGGGGTTTTAGATACCCCGCTTCCCGGAGATCATTGTGAACATCGATGTGCCACAGGTGTTTGGGTCCCAACTCCCCAAGACAAAGGCTCAGTATGACTTCCACCATTTAGAGCGACTCCGAGCGGTATTGAACGAATCCCAGAGTGAAATGTACGAACTCATGAACCTCTTTTTCTTTAACCAAGCAGCTTTTGACCCGGATAATGATAAGTACATCAATGATGTGGTGGTCAAACTGCGGCTCAAACCGAGTGGGTTAGTTCCGTTCGTATTAAATGGACACTACTTTCCGTATAATCAAAGCATTTAAAGCATACCTAGATGACGGGAACCTGGCTACGAAGTGGCCGCATTGAACAGTCATTGGAACGATTTACTTCGCTTTCTCCGCAACTGCCTTGAGAAGGACATCCAGCTCCCACCGCTAAAGTGCTAATTGGGCATCTTGTTTGATGAAGCGGTGGAATTCTTTGGTAGGGAGGATATTTTTAACACCTCCGCCATCCTTCGCTCCCGTGCACAAGCATTGTTTGACCGTTCCCCACCGGAGAATAGGCCGGAATTGGTATTCTTGCTTGCAGTACTCTCGTGGTGGGCAATCTATATTCCAGGATTTGCAGATAAAGCGGCGGTCCTCTCTGACATAACCCGGAAGAGTACTATACTGACATAACCCGGAAGAGTGCTATATTCAAGTAGGAGACGAAGCACCAAGCTGCATATGCGTACCTCATGCTGGTTATTAGCTTACGCATGCGTCTCTATTAGCCACTACCGCACCAGCAGCTAGTGTTGACCCCGGACGCTAGCAATTGGGGGGTAGGAGCAGCTCTGTTTAGATACCACCGCAGGGTACACCTAAATTTGACGAAGCACAGCGGCTGATAGCTGACTGTGATGACCATCGTGCTGGGTTAGGGTTACCCCCCGTTACCATGCACCCGCAGGTACCACGCTTGGCCCTCCTCGACGGTGAGACTAATGAACAAATTTATGATGCAGATATGGTCACCATCCTAAATGAGTCCAAGGAAGTTTCCTTGTCTGCTCTTCCGTGTTTCCCTAAAGTGGCACCCATACCACTGGTATGTGTAGCCACCCCAGTCAATACCCCTTTGCGTACCCGTGCTGACATTGTTGCAGCACAGGATGCCATTATTCATAGTGTCTTAGCGAAGCCTCTAGTCTCCCAGTACGGTGTGGTAGAGGCGGCTGTTCCTTACGCACAACCAGTTTCCATATAATGAACTCAGTGTACAGTCTACTAAACAAAGACAAATAAACTTATCTCGATTGATGATTGAGCCAGACCAACAAAAATAAAAAATTGGTGCTGGGCTGCCACAAGTCGACGGGGCCAAAAATACTCCAAGCGACAAAATAGAGTAATCGATCGTCTGTCGAAGAGTCAGAGACACCGAGAGACAGTAGACTCAGAGGCTCTCTATAAAGTAGGCTGACTTAGGGCTGAGGGTTGAGAGCTGAGGTCTCGGGGCTCAGGGGCTCAGGGGCTCAGGGGCTCAGGGCTCAGGTCTCAGGGCTCGCCGGCTCGGAGCTTGGGGCTCGGGGCTCGGGGCTCGGGGCTCAAGCTGGCTGGCTGGCTGGCTGGCTGGCTGGCTGAAGAGAAGTATAGGTTGGTAGCACGAGAGTAGAGTGACCTGGTAAGTTGTTAGAGTGCAGTGTAGGGGACTAGAAGTAAAGTGCTAGTGTTTCAATAGATATGGTGCGTTCGAATGAATTTGTTTATGATCTCACCCTCAGTTGTATACAAATGGGTGTTTGTACTAGTGTTCAACCACTTGGGTTGACCAGGGTAAAAACGCATATGATCAGTATGAGAAACCTTATGCAGAACACTTTAGCACTCGGATACATTTTCTAGAAATAAATATATCACTCTCTCTCTCTGTTACGTACTCTCAGTCTCAGGCTTCGGCTCTCGACTAGCCGGTGACCCGCCTATAAGTAGAATAATGTGAGAAGTCTCAAATTACTCTACACGTGCTTTCAGGCTGACCTACCTATACATATATCAATTTGAGAACAAATCCCAAATCACTCTCGGGCTGACAACGTAAACCGTTGTTAACGTATATAGAAATACATCTACTTCTGTAGTCTCCCAGTCTAGATTTCCATGAGACCAAGGATTGTCGACAATTGAATAATCCACCCCAGTTTTCATGTCTCACCTAGAAGAACCATAAGACTAGCATGACACAGACCATGTTGAAGTTAAAAGTGAAGCATCCACTGTCCAGGCTGACTTCGATCTGATCAAGCGATCCAAAGTCATGTCAACCTCCACCGAAGGGATTGTCAGTCCTACCAATGATAAAAGTATGGTCAAGGCTTCATTGACCTCAAGTACTCCGACGGACAATATCAAATTGACAGGCTCATGTTATGGTGGTAGACAATGCTAGAGTGCAATGTATTAGACTTTAAATAGTGCAAATGTATGTATTTATTTCCGACCTTATCTTTGGTTTTATGCTCAATATGCTTGCGCTGGTGTTTAGCCGCTTAGGCTGGCCAGGGTAAAAACTCATATGGTCAGCATGAAAAACGTTATGCAGAACACTTTAACTGCTATGTTATTCTATTTCGACTTCTTTGCAACAAAATCTCACGCTGATCACATGACTCCTTTCCGCATAAGTTGTGACTTGCATAGAACAGCAGCTATTTGTAGTATGTTGCAGTTGGCACTTGGCAGACTTAATCCACTCTGGAGAGTTCGTTGAGAAACCTAGTATGCTCTTGGGAGTCGGTTAAGCATTAACTCAATTCTCGGGAGTAATTTAAGCTCTCGGGAGTGAGCTAACTCTTATGAATTCCATAAATCAAAAAGGGGTTCTTGCTGTAAAATACGGTGACGATACAGTTTGACGTGAGAAAAATTTGTCAGACATAAACTCGATTTCGTCGACCAGGATCACTTTGAGACATAAACCTGCGAACCACAGCTATGGAAATAAGGTAGTGATATTTCAAACCAAAGTCGCTAATATGTGCTAACAAAGCTCCATAAAAAGCTGTTATTTATACTGAAAACCTGATCCTGAATATTTTTATGAACACCGCCAGTATCAACCTCCTTGGTTTGTGTTTTATAGGTACAAACTGTATTAGATGCGTCTGTGCTCCAAGTACTCTGCTACTCTTTATATGCCCTTGCAGCTAATAAAGTTCTGGGTAGATCCAGAGGGTTTCACAACTATTGGGACGATTCGTTGTCTCTAATGTTAGGCAAACATATTGGGATCACCATCATAGCGAGTTGGTTTCGCTGTTTGGCTTATAGTTGTATAAGAGGTGCCAATAAACATCACAAATAAAGCATAAATTTGCACAGTTTTCAAGTTATCGAGAGCCATCACATTTTTGGTTAGTCTATGAATAGCAGATTACAAAGTACATGTCAACACTATTCAGATCCGACAATTAAGGTGCAATACAAGCACACAGTGCACGCAATAGGCGTATAAAATTACCACTAGTGGCTATCTATTCAACACATACAGTATCTGTCTCAGGGACCTAAACCATTTGTACTGAGATTTAAGCGGGCCTTCTGACTGAAGCGGTGCTGCGCTCTATCTATTGCATCAGGAGGTAGTTTGCATTTTCTGCATCAGTTTTCTACCTTTCCGATTACAAAAATATGTATTGTTTTGCTGTTGTCACGAAATATCAGAGCGCAAATGCATGTGAATACCTTTTAGGCTATGTCTTACTGTACACAAACATGATCTCATGGTACAGGATAAATATTATATCGTACTCAGCCGTATTCAACCGTATGTAGATTGCAGAAACTCTTATGCTGACCTTGAAGCTCCAATCAATCTACGTAGTGAACATAAAATCAACTATGTAAAATAACCTTACAGTCTGCACGTTTATGAGATCGACGTCAGATAAAACAGTGTATTTACTATTCGAAACGGACCACCAGAGAGAAAACATCATCATACTCTGGCAGGTACTCCTCTAGAATTCAGGTGTTTCATATACACTGATAGCATCGGCAGTCTCACTAGCAATAAATGCATCGGCACGACTCACACATTGGTCGACGCTACTAGCTGCGATGGCTGCTCGCTATGGCATGGTATAGCTCATTAACAAAAAGTTGCAATGTTGGGTTTTGCAATAAAGTCGGCCCGTGCCAAGCTATAGTACGCCTCTGACTGAAGTTCAAGCGATACAGTTTTTTATATGGATATATATGGTTTTATTGAGAGGTAGTTGAACTTCACAGAAGCCGCGTTTCCCATTTATGTACAGGTGGTTAATGGCATGCACTAGACTTACATGCACCTATATTATTAATTTAGTCGAATCGTCCAAGCTACGACTTCTTGGATTTTTTAGAAGACCTTTTCGTCGAGCCCCTAGTCTCGGCTGATTTTTTTTTCGTCGAGCCCTTATTCTCGGCTGTTGGCTGTACTACGGTACCGTCATCAAACGCACCTCCAATAGTTGTATTCACTCCGCTTGAACTCGGGTTCACAGCAGCCATACTGGTGTTCATAGCGCTCATACTGGTATTCACACCGCCTATGCTTGTATTGCCAGGCATATAGGGATTGGGTGCCAGTAGGCCAGGCATGTTGGCATTCGGCACGCCAGAGCCATAGGGGCCACCCATTGCCCCCAGAATATTACCAGTAGGTAAGGAATGGGTTGGTTGCAGCCCCAGGGGAGTGTTGAAGAGGTTGGTCTGGGGCGCTGGGGTAGTGTTGAACAGGCTGGTCCCCATCATCGGGTTGGCTGGACCGATGGAGTGGCTGAGTTGGGATGCTGTGCTTGACTTCCCCTTGTCTGTGGGATCTTTCGATTCAGACGATTCCTCATCGTCCGATGAAACCAACTCGGGGTCTGTGTGTGTATGTGCGCATATTGGTTATATAAAGCGGTAAGGATGGATATGTATGTGTTTGTATGTGTACGTATGCATATACATATAGACAGAGAGCGAGCATAAACGAATGCCTGTGTAGTTTCGACGCGTATGATCTATCTCTGGTTAGACACACATCTTATATCATCTGGTGCTACTATGGAACTATTACAATTCATTAACTGCGCATTACATTTTCTCGTGTTGGGTTGTCAATGTGTATGTAAATATGCGCTACACCTTAAAATAGGTGACTGGGGATCGATTGTGCACGTATATGCACAGTATGCGTATGTTTCGGTTGCTCGATCGTTCCAGAGATGGGATTGTAATTCCTATTATACCTTGGCCACGCCTCACCACTTGGACTTGGCTGCGCTCCCTTGGTTACAGTCTAAAAACAAACAGGTCGACTTATACCCAGAATATCTAAATGCACACACACAAACACACACATATATATATACGTATACTATAGGAACGTACCAGCTCCCAGCACCTTGTCGAATATCATGTTATAAGCCTTGTCCAACCCACTCCACTTGGACTTGGGCTGCTTGTTCTTTTTGACCTTACTCGCTGATGAGTCATCTCCACCGCTCTCCTCATTGTCAATATCTGCGGGTCCAGCAACGAGAAAATAAGGTAGCAAGATAAGTATATATATATATATATATACATACATACATACATACATACATACATACATACATATATATATATATATATATATATATATATATATTTATATATATATATATATATATATGACTGTGCGAAAGTATTTATAGACAGAAAACTATATTACATGGGAAATAGGGCATACAACCTGTTGGATGGCTGAACGCCGAAAAGCCTTAATTATTCAATTATGCAATTAAGAACGCGTATAGATCCATCACATACATAAGTTTGTACGCAATTACAAAAATATTTACCATGTAAGGTAGCAGACAACGATCTTTCGCGGTTGGGCTGATTCGCCACAGGCACAGAACCCATAGGCGCCATTCCGGAAACCTGGCTCAGATGCAAAGCGGGATTCTGCGATATACTCAGCGACGTAGGGGCCGCTACAAAACTGGTCATGGGCTGTATTTGGGGACTCATACCCAGATTAGGGGTCAGAGATAGACCTGGTACATTGGGAGGTGCTATACTGCCTTGCCCCAGACTCCCCTGGCTGGAAACAGAACGAGAGCCCATGCGAGACCCGGCCCGGGAACTTGGCCGGAAACTGAGGTGCGATTGCAATTGCTGTATGATTGGTGGATATAAATAGAACGGTATTAGCTACGATTCTACAATACTTCGTGGTCCTACTCGGGAATCGGTACGTGAATTGAAACCCTACTAAGCGATCGGGCTTGCTGTGTGATTAGTGGATATAAAAAGAACGGCACTAGCTGCAGCTCTGCAAGTAGCTTTTGATCCGACCTGAGAATAACACATGCTGCGTGATAGGTAGTTATAAATAGAATGGAGTTGCTATACTTTTAAATTTTCTCCGGTTGGACTCACTCCGGACTCACTATCCCGACATGTCTTGAAATTAGTTCCGCTTATCCTAGCTGAGATTTATTTAACCTAAAATTAGGGTTGTTTTACGTACCTGAGCGGCAAGCTGGAGTTCCATTTCTGCGGTGTCAATATCGTACATGACATTGAGTTTGGCCTCCAAATCTGTTTCACCGAATATGGCTTCGTACATCTTATCGATCCAATTTTTTTTAAAAACAGCGTTTAGTTTGCGGCGTGATTCTGGTTCGACGGCCGACGTGCTCTGGAAATTGATGCTGGAAAGTGATGGGCGTTCATTGGGTTAGCCAAATGTGTCATATCAACAGCAATACACACACACACACACACACACACACACATATATATATATATACATACATACATACACACACATACATACCTACATACATAAATACATATGTACGTGCATACATACTTACACACACACACACACATATATATATATAGATATAGATATAGATATATGCACACACACACACACACACAAACAACACACACACACACACACACACACACACACAACACACACACACACACACATATATATATATACGAATAAATAGATATGTCTGGGATAGACTGTGATATAAATGGGAAAGATGGAGCCAATACTATATTAAAAACATCATGCACGAGCATAGATTGATACTCTGGCATATCGAACCGTACGCAAACAAAACATATTGTATTACATATCAATACAGCACTAGGACTGACCCCAAGCCCTTCTCAACAGCAGCATTGACCATTTAAACACTCACCCAGATGTATCCGACGCCCCCTGAGTAGCCATGGACTTGCCCATCAGAGAATTGGTGCCTCCCATCATACTCATAGCGGACATGTTGTTACCGTAACCAGACAGCGATACGGCACTGTTGTTGTAGTTCATACCACTGGTTGGAGCGTTGGCAATGGTAGCGGCTGTGTGGTTGTGATGTGTACGTGTACATGTGCATGTCCCGGTGTTAGTAACAATATCAATAGGCAGTGATATGCGACCAAACGAGTGTACGGTGCAGGTCTCTAGCAGAGGTAGGTAAAACATTGTCAAGAGGCAAGGCGAAGAAAGTATCAAGTGTGCCGGGTGTAGTTCTCGCCGAGCTAAACCCACAACATGGGCGGGTGTAGTGGCGGTACGCGCCACAGCTAGTGCCCACAGACGATGTGTGTGCAATCCACTACACAACATACAAACCACTCAACAACACAGACACTCACACACATACCATACAACCCACTCCACAACACACACACAATCCACTCAACAACACACACACAAGCCACAACAGCACACACACCCCCACACACTTACCACACAAATCACTCAACAAAACACACACCCCCACACACTTACCACACAAACTACTCAACAACACATACACCCCCACACAAATACCACACAACCCACTCAACAACAAATACACAAGCCACTCAACAACACACAGACACCCACACACATACCACACAACTCACTCAATAACACCCCCCCCCACACTTACCACACAAACCACTCAACAACACACACACACCCACACACATACCACCCAACCCACTCAACAGCACACATACACCCACACACTACCACGCAGCCCACTCAACGACACACAGACACCCACACACTACCACGCAGCCCACTCAACGACACACAGACACCCCAGCCACAACCAAACGAAGTGCTTACAGTCGAGTGTTTTGGCGCGATCATCGTCCGACTTCTCGTGTGCCGCCAGCATGCGTAGGCGTCTCTTGCGGCCTTTGAAGTACAGAACAGTCAGAGCTGTGTAGTGGGATGGACAAGAAAGGCTCAAAGCCGTGAGAACACGGGCGAGTGCGTGTTATGGGTTACCTACTTCATACCACCGAAGGAACACATACACAGCAGTTTCAGTATGAGTCATAATAAAAGGAGCCAAATTATATCTGCCACCTCACACCCTTAATTAATGGTCTTCAATCGACACTAACACCCCCCCAAGCCACACTAGCAACCCCTATCACCACACACAGCCACACCATAGCTCGTGTGTATGACCCACCTACATACGAGTTACCTACCTACATACGAGTTACCTACCTACATACGAGTTACCTACCTACCCACCTACATACTAATTACCTACCTACACCACCGCAGCAAATCAGGCAGATGACAAGCACTACCGCCAGCATGGCACATATCACCAACACGTTGTTAGTGGACTTCAAGGGGTTCATCAGCACATCCTTGTAGTACTCGGTGTCCCAGGCAGACACCTCCTTAGCCGCGTTCATATTCAACATACTTAGGATGAGGTTCTGCAACGGGTTGTCGATCTCAAACTGCTTCACGCGCAGGAACTCTTCGTAGGTAAAGCCCAAACCTGTGGATACGTGGGAGTGCAAGAGTATGCAAATATACTATATATATATACACACACACACACACATATATATATATATATATGTATATATATATATATATATATATATATATATATATNTATACACATACACATATACACACACACAAATACATATATATAGGAGAGATATGCGTGTGTTGTAATTTGAATACCATCCACGTATTGAGTTGAAATGAAAATGCACACACTCATGCACACCTACGACATACACTCTACACCATGAAACATCACTTCTAGACGTAGACACACCACTTAAAACCCTCACTCAATTTCGATCCACACGCAGACACGGACACACTACCCACACACTTCTGTACCTACAACGAAATATTCTATGGTGTAGGACGATAAAACCCTAAAACCCTACAGAATACACGCACAATGCCCTGGGGTATAAATACATAGCCCTTATCCGTCACACTCACACACACTTCTAGTAAGACATACCCACAGCGTACACGCACAATGCCCTGGGGTATAATTACATAGCCCTTATCCGTCACACTCACACACATACACATTTCTAGTGAGACTTACCCACAGCGTACACGCACAATGCCCTGGGGTATAATATACCTCATGGCATACATACATGTCTGTTATATACTCAGCACAGTCAATAGGCATACATGCCCCAAATCCATCACACCCACACACACCCACACACACACTACTACTAGTAAAACGTACCCACACCGGGTGCCTCGATTGTGTTGGGCATTACAGCACGACGATGGCGTTGGTGTGAGCCGAAGTTGTGTTGTGGCGCTACGACCTTTCGGCGTCGACGTCTGTGGTACGTTGCCATGGTGATGAGATAAAGGAGAGCAATACTCAATGCGCATGCGTGAGGTGATGACGTAGTATATGGTGATGAGATAAAGGAGAGCAATACTCCATGTACATGCGTGAGGTGGTGACGTAGTATATTGTGATGAGATAAAAGAGAGTCATACTCAATGCACATGCGTGAGGAGGTGACGTAGTATCGCGTGTAAGTACGTTCTGAAATTGGACAAGTGTTCAGACGGAATGGGGTGATTGGGGCTGGTGTCTGTTGGGCTGTGTATGTACCGAACAGTGCGTGTATGGTATATCGATACGTGTACATTGATATTACGGATAGAGGCTGTTTGGCTGTGTGAGAATCGAGAAATCGGATCAAAACGGGTTATTTTAGGGGTATTTGCCATTGCGTAATAGTTCATCACTGCTGACATACGGATGTGTATACAAGTGTGTCTCTCTACAACTACGAACTTTCGTATGATAAATAATTCTAAAACGTCGATGTAAACACACACGCGTATGCTAATACCTACTTCATATATATATATATATCTATATATCATATATATATATATAT